CTAATCTATCCCTAACTATTTTAAGTCATTTATCTACCGGCACGTTAGTGAAAAGACTAACAACGTCAAAACTAACCATTAAACTGTTAGGTGTTATATTAATTTTTGAAATTTTTTCTATAAAGTGTGGTGTGTTTTTAATGTATGAATCGGTGTTATTTGCAATCGGATTTAATATGTCTAGTAAAAATTTTGCCAACGGATGGCATGGAGAATTTATACTACTGACTATAGGTCTAAAAGGTATACCCTGTTTGTGTATTTTCAGTAAACCGTATAAATGAGGTGGTTTACTGTAATGGGGTGTTAATAATGTTCATTGTAAGTCTGTTAATATATGTTTGTATTTGTATAAAGTTCTGTATATTTTTCTTTCAATAGTTGGTGTTGGGTCTTTTGAAAGTTTTGTGTAACTACCGTTATTTATAAGATCTGTAATTTTGTTATTATATTCGTCTAAATCTATAACTACTGTAATTTTTTTTCCGACGACGGAAAGAGAAAACTTTCCGAAACGTTAAGCATTTTTTTCTTTGTCAGGCAAATTTTTATAACTGTAAACACAACTTCTGACAAGCAGCGTCCGTTTAGGTTTAACGCCAGAAGTGTTTACCAAAAATAACTATTTTATTTTGTAGATTTTTCTTGCAGTGCAGTGGCGAAAAACCCATAAAGGATTTTTTTGGATAAGACTGAATTGGTTTATTAAAGTATAGTTGTGGTTTTCTTAATAATATCAATTGGTTAAAAAACAGTGTATTATGTACTTTATCAACAATAGCATGTGTTACATTAGCGTACGTACTAAAAAATAAAACAAGGTCACCTTGTGGCAACTAAATCACTTTCTGTTATATTTTTTAAATATTCTTAAGTCCCAGTATACGTTTGTCACGTTTAATGTAGGAAAAATAAACTTAGATATGAGGTTGTCGAAACCCAGACGCAGACAGCCACTACAGACTACAAGTTCTATTTGATTTAGATTTTTGTGCGATATTTTTGTACAGAGATAACAGAACCAACATTCATTTTGACATACTTTCATATTAATAGAAACAGCTACTTCATTATATTTATTGATCAAAAATTGAGAAAATAAAACTAAGATATTAAAAGTTTTAAAATATATATACTTGCCTGTGTATAGTTAACAATGCAGAATTCCAGCAAAGGCACTTTTGAAGACAGACAAAACATATATTTACCACTGAATATTTTCCATTACAAACTAGTTCCTTTGCAAATGTATAATATAATGGCGGATGTGTCCCATTTGCTAATTTGGCCACTTTTGTTTTGGGGTTCCAACTTGTCGACAGTTTTTTTTTTAATTTATCGCACCACAGAAATACACAATAGCACTAAAATCCTTGGTCTTTATTTAACTTAAGCTTATTCTTACTTATGATATTCCAAAAATTAGCATATACCTTATAAAAATCTGTTCCTCTATACCGCATGTCTTAAATAATACCACAATACTCTTGATTTAATTTGGTAAATGTGCAAATTTTGTTACTTAAATTGAAAATTATGTTCATAGGTAAACACCTGCTTTCGAAAAACTTTCCGTGAATAAATTGAACATTTTCTTAAATGTTTAGTTTCTGAAATACTTGGATATTTTAGTATTTTTGTAACTTTTTCTATTGCATTTGTCGTATCAATTATACTTTGTATAAATAGCTGTTGTTGAACATGAAAATAAAATTGTAGGTTTTTGCGTCCGTTTTTACTCTCTAAGGTTTCTCTCTTTAATCAACAATAACAACCAGAAAAAGAATGACGTTAGTAAGATTTCCCTTTTTGTATTTCTTGGCTTGAACTGAAATATTACAAAAACCCAAATTTCTTTCAATATAAAAAATGAAGTTGAAAATATTGTTGTGCCCGAAAAAATCACGCAAAATAAACTCTTATTCATTTTTCGAATCATATCCAGCAATGCTTTGTTTTTTTTTACTATGTACTGTTACATACTATTAATTATTTTCAGACATTACCTTGGACTCAGTAATTAATTTTGTTATATTTAAATTTAAAACTGCAAAATGCTTTTCATTATTTCAGTTACTTAAATATAATAAAATAATTTCTACATTACCCGCGAGTTTCCTGTAGTTCCATATTTTCTTGAAATTTATTTTTCATTTTTAATATCCATTTATAAGATTGGTGTACAGTAAGAATGTCTGATAAAAAAACGTTATAATATTAACAAAGAGTTTTCGGTAAGATGTAAGAATTAAATTAAAGCACTCTAATTGTTTTAAATATCCGCGAACATCTGATAAAAATTTAAAAAAAATCGGACTTATCACTCTTTAAGTTAACCTTAAAGGTTTGCCCCGTAAAGAATAAGTGTGACGTGTTTTTTTCTTAAAGAATACATATAATTATAATTTGTATACTTAAGAACATGTAAGGAAAAATAAATATATCTATATATTATTATTTCATTCCTTTAATCATTCCTATAACTTAATATCATAATACTTATAATTTTATTAAAATACAGTTTGTTTTGTATTTTATTAATTATAAATATTACTATTTTGTATAAAAATGTATGTAATAATTTGCAATTATTTCAAATTAGAATTGATCTGAAGCATTCCCGCCATTATGCGCCATCTGTTGGCGAATTTACCACGCGTATTCAAAGCGCCATCTGTTAAACCTGACTATAAACGCATTTCTAAAGTTATCCTCACAAGTATCGATCAAATTTAACTCTTTATTTTCTAGATTTGATATTTTTAAGCATTTTAACTGAATATAATTCAATGATTAAATGCTTTTAATTTTTAATTAATAGAAATAATCTCATTTATATATGAAAATATTGTTTGGCCTGCTCTCATAAGTGTATCAGTTGTCAATTTTTTAGCGGTGCGTTTAAATGGGTGGTTGTTTAGGTTAAAATGTAATATTATTCAGGTTGTTTTTATTAATATTTATATGACTTTACATTACAGTAAAGCATTTTTTACGAGCTTAATATGGAAATGGTTGATTTTGTTTAAAATTAAGCCATGAAAAATAAAAAATAAAGCTTCAGAATTCAATATTTCTGTATTTACCCAGCATGCACTAGGCATCGGAGTTGGGAGTGGGAGCAAAGCGAATGTCTAATGTCTATCGTAAGCAGAGTTGTGTGTAGCTCTAGTTCTCTTTCGAAGTGTAAAAATAAGTGAAAGAAGTTATTTTATACACGAAGTTAATGCCTTTTTTAGAATATTTTAAGTCATAGATATGTGATACACTTTGGAATAGCTGTAGGAATAACGACAACGTTTTGTGGCGGCATTTATTGGTGACGTAGTCTCCATTATACCTGTACAGAGTTCTCAGTGACCTTTCAAGGCCCCAATTAAAAACATGATAGGTTTGTAATGATATTTCTTGCCTTTTAAACATAGTTTAGTTCGTCGGTCGTTTAGTGTTTAGGACTTATAGTTTAAAATACAAAACTAAGTATTGTTGAAGTTGTACTGGGGTTTTATCTCATTGAATGTAAACAGTTTTAGCCCCGCCCCGCAAATCTGGATATTTTCACATCTATTGTAGTTTTTCATGTTCTTCATTTTCATTAAAATCGTAACCTCATTATGCATTTAGTAGGGCATTTATTTTTATTCTAGTTATTGAATCTTATGACATGTGGAGACCATGTTTAATAGTAGACATTTAAATGTACAAGTGTCAAGTTTAATTTTGTTTTTTATTCTTAATTATCAAATTATGTTCACATTAATGTAATATAAACGGTATTATAAACATTAGGTATATGAAACTTTTTTAACATATACAATAGTTGGTTTAATAATAATGTATTGTTAAAAATTTCGTAAACATTCATAAGCTGTTAATTTGTTACTTTTTAGTTTTTATATTTATAAAGCTCTTTTACAGAATAACTAGAATTGAAACAATAGTGTATGTTATTTATTGTTACAGTTGGTTGCTCATTTGTGACATACACTAATTCTCCTTTTAAATTGAAACCATTTTACTATGAGAATATACCTAGGTACTAGTTCAAGAAAAAAACAAATTTCAAAGAAATAGAGCATGAAAAAATTATGGGAATCTGTGACACAGTTTATTTCTAAATTAAACTTACCTTATCAACTATTGTCTTACTCATTTTTTTTAAAAAATGACACATAGGAATGCATGTGATTGAGTGCATTCTGTTTTGTGTTGTTAATTCAAAATGCTATTTGATTTGAATGCATATAAGTTGTTATAAAACCCCATTGTCTATTTTACTATACTAAGTTAATTTATAAGAAATAGATTGTGATATTTTTTTTGTAAATTAAAGGGACATTTACTGTGAAAAACGGTATAATTGAGAAATGAAGTACCTGAAATACTATGATTTTTTTTAGAAAAAAAAATTAGAAATAGCTACAAAGTACTATGCCATTCTTAAAAGCATTTATGAAATACTTAAATATGGTATAAATAATTTGCCCCAGACAATTAACCCTTTAATGTAAACTTATTTAAAATTAGCTAAATATTTTAGGATAATAGTTATAATTTTTAGCCTTTTAAATTTTGTAAGATTTTAGTTTTAAGGAAGCATACTCTTATTAAGGATAATTTAATTATTCAATTGACGTTATTGCCTTAATTAGAAAACTCTAAGCTATTTGTTTTTCAGAGTGTCAGCCAATGCCTGAAAAGAGTTTGGATCAGATAGAAAGAAAATTATATATAGGCTGACCTAAATATTTTATATTCTTAGGTATGTTATAATAGTAATAATTCCTGGTGTTTTGTTAAGTATAATTATTGCATCACCATCATGATTTTATTAATTTTATTTGTGGTTGTGGTATATTAACAGAGGGTCTATTATTTTTTTAAATAAAATTTTATGTCATCAGTATATGAGTTAAAATATTTTGTGGATTCATGGGTCTTCTATCACTAATCATTTTTGCATGTATGTCACAGGATTAATATATCATTAACATACACAAAACACAGCTTCAAACATGTCGGCTAGTCAACTTTTGGATTCATGTATGTAAGTAATTTCTCAATAATCTTGTTAATAATATGAATTACTAGAACTTATGTTAGGTCATATATGTGTACCAATTACCAATCTAAAAAAAAATAAATAGAAAAATATCAGGGTATTAGTCAATGACTTCCTGAAAATGTCATTTTCAGAATTTTATGTTTTAAAACATATATAGTCTGAGTTTTATTACATTAGATTCTTAAAATAGGTATTCCTTTCTTTAATCTAAAACCACTCAGCACTTTTTTTATTTCAAAATGTTTATTTAGGTTTGGTATCTCCAAAATTTGTACTTTTAGTTTCTAAAATTTATTATTCCTTATTGTCATATAAATACATATTTTATTTGTTCAGTGTAATTATTCCAAAAATCTTAAACATTTTTTAAAGAATAAAATATTAGCAACACTGAAAACTAAATATGTTTTCTCATTAATTTTCTTTTTATAATAGAAGATTATATATGATGGAAACAACAGTATTTCAAGTTATAGTATTTCCAAGTCAGTTGGAATCGTTTAGGCTCTTAACTTTGGGACTGCCTTTGCCGACGCCATTCTCGGCATTGTCTGCAAAACCAAATTAAGAATCCCAAACCAATCAAACTAACTTTGGAATTACTTTACCGATTAAGATAAAATTACCCACCACTATATATTGAAATATAAGAAAATGAAACAGGTTTTTTATAATTATCTTTTTATTTACTCATAATCATTATTATAATCATTTGTCACCGTGGATTACCTAATAAAGGAACTAGTTTCTGATAGTGTTTTTTTTGTTTGATATGTACTCTTTGTTTCCTGCATTTTACCATAAATTTTTTTCTTAATGCTTGGCTAAACTCTCTTGTGCTTTTGCAAACTCGCAGCTTGGTTAACCGAAGGGTGGAACACAGACAAGAAAGAAGTGTAACACACACAGAGGTAACTCAAAGGTAAGAATTTTGTCTTGAGTAGTACATTCTGTATGATGAACCATCTTAAATGCATATTTGTATGCCGATTGCTTGCTATCAATAACAACTTAATCTTTTGTTAACAGCGCTCACTTGTCACGTAGTAGCTTATTGTGACTTGAACATTTCTAACATCTAACATTTCATACATTGTCCATTGTCCTCCTATTACATTTAAATAATCGTCTTTCTTTAGTTTATCATATATTTAACCACTAACTTTTAATAATTTTAAATCATATTCTGGATACAAACTGATTGTAATTCAATATTTTCATTATTGGCTAAATAATTTGATAAATAAATTACACACTGATTCACTCCTAGGCTCGTATAAATATTGAATAAGGGATTAGAGTAAGTATCTGGATCTATTTATTTTTTGTTGTTTTAGGAGAGTTTTGCAAGAACAGGTTCCAGACATGCAGCATTATAAGTAAGTTGGTGTTTTGCATGGTTCATATTAGTAGGAAACATTCCAAATTTTTGGATATATACTTACAATGACTCGAAAATAGGACATTAAAATTACCGAAATATCAAAAAATCAGCAGCTATGCATATTTAGTTGCGCTTATGAACGTAGAAATTAATATCACGCCTTTCTAAATGTACAACTCGACAGTAGCCCATAGATTGCATCTTGCATAAGTTTAAGATTATGTGAAAAATACACCGTGTGATCGAATGAATAAGTCTCAGTAGGCGTAGAAAGAACATTATGGTTATAATTTAGTGTAGTTCGAACCTAGAAACACGTTCACGAGTTTTTGCGAAAAAGCAGATACATTTTACGCGATTTTTTTGACGGCGTTATCGAAGTTCCACAATTGTCATCTCCTACCTTACCTACGTTCTGTACACTTGTATCTACAGAAAAAAATAGTATACACTAATAATTATTCTAGAAAACGCATGCTACTATTACGACTTTTTTATATTTTAATTGAATACTAATAACTATGGTATTTCCAAAGTCGGGCAAAATTGCTTGGGGCTCTTAATTTCGGCACTGCCTTTGTCGGCGTCATTCTCTGTATAAACTATGGAGGGTTGAGGTAAGGAGAAATACCTTTAATGGGACTTTATTTGAAAAAGTGGTCACCAAAATGGGAAGAATAAGGGTTCACTAAATAACCACAGTGTCGCGGCATATAGCGATTACAAATAAAGTGAAGTTGGTTAAAAAACGAGGCAACATGCACCTTCATAAAGCGCCCATAATATGTATCACATTTCATTTATTTCCGGTTCCAAAAATTTTTGGTGCTTCTTTCAAATGTAGAACTTTTGCTACAGCAGCGCCAATCCATGAAGATAATTTTCCTTACCTCTACCTTCCATAGTATCAAACAAATTAAGTGTTTCACGTTTCACATCTAACTGACTTTGGAGTTACATTAACTATGCTGTATTAATAAAAATTCTGTTATCGTTAGAAAATATGTTTTTGCCGCTTAAAAAGCCTGGCGCATCCGCCACGACATCGACATCAGGAAAAAAAACTTTTTATTTTTTTTAATTAAATGATAAACAAAAAAATTCGGCGACGACAGTTTTTAGAAGAGCCAATTAGCTATCTTTTGGTAAAAAAGCAACTTTCTAGAGCAAGTCGTTACTTCAGTAGAGACGACACACAGATAAACATTAGCGTTTTATATCTGTAGATAAGTTATTTTCATAAAGAGAAAAAGTTTAATGCATCCTAAAACTATTGCATGAAAAAATACGTATCAAATTAACAAGTGTGGCATATTTATTTGGTTTGTTGTGATTAGAGGTCCAGACGTTTCAACTCTCAACGACTCAGCGTACCATACGCACAGTAATGGTCACTCGGAACATTCGCCCAACTCCAGTCATATGTCTGTACACAGCGACGAACCCTTAGTGCGCACCCAAAAACAGCAAACCACACAGCAGGTGACGACCGTCACCAAAGTCGTTAGGGAGGTCCAGCAAATTGGGGAACAATCTGGAGAATACATTCCTGTACCGTTAGGTTCATATCCTCACAGTTCGCATTATGGAGACTATATAGAACAACCACCTCATCATATGTATTCTCAGTACCATCAGCATCCGCATTACCAGGTATTATTTATTTTCGTTTTATTAAGATTAGTAATTTAATTACAGTAATACCCAGATTTAGGCGGTTTCGATATTATGCGAAAAATGGATGTTCAGTAATACCCCGTTTTGCGTTACCTCGAATTACGCGGTTTTGATATTACACTAAAAACTGGAGATACAATAATACCCCGCTTTACACGGCCCCGGTTTACGCGGTTTGAATATATTACGCGAAAACTGGATATAGGTATAGTAATACCCCGATCTACGCGGTTTTGATATTACGCGAAAAAGTGGATATATTACCAACAGGACATTCTACCGCCAACCCGTATATTGCAATTCTTAGAATGTCGTCTACTAGTAAGCGTGAGTTTAAAAGTTTTATGCTTAATATAGATATATAAATCGATTATAAAGATTATAAGTCGAATTGAGAAAGAAATGAATGGTGCTAGAACTACTAATGTTGCGCGCGATTAAAATTTAGCGAAATAAACTATACGCACCATCGTCAAAAACAAAGAAAGAAAGAAATTACATGCTTAAAAAGAGTAAAAATTGGTCAAGTGCGAGTCGGACTCGCGCACGAAGGGTACCATTCATTATCTATACAACCAGACACTATTATATTATTATAAACTTTTTTTCCGATTTAGCTGAAATTTTGAATGCGCGTATAAGTAATTTAAAAATGAAGAAACACATTACTAAAAATTGTATTAATCAATAATAAATATGTAAAAAGTAAAAATAAATATGTAAAAATTAAAAATAAATATGTAAAAATTAAAAAAAAACGATTAAAAAAAGTCGCCTTGGGTAGGATTCGAGCCTGCCTTACTACGGCTCCAACGTCATAGCAGCGTAAAGTCCTAACGCTTTAACCACGCGGCCACCGAGGACTTGAAAGATTCTATGTAAAATTCTTACTTAAAAGATAATGTTTAGTGAAAGTATAAACATTTATTTAATTCTGTTTTTAGTATTTGTTCTTATAGCGGCAACATAGATAAATTATCTGTGAAAATTTCAACTGTCTAGCTATAACGGTTCATAAGATAGACCTTTTTGTGACAGATGGATGGACGGACGGACGGACGGACGGATAGCGAAGTCCTAGTAATAGGGTTCCCGTTTTTATCCTTTGGGTACGGAACCCTAAAAAGCACATATTTATTTTGTTACTATTTGATACCTACAATTACGTTACATTTAAAAATATAATAATTTATTTTAAATTATAATTTATTTATAACAAATGTATTCTATGGTTTTAACTCTGTTGCTTATTTGGGAAAATATGTTACCTATAAAGATTAAAATACATACATATTTGAACCTCGTTATACGCGATTTTATGTGGAACACATCTACCGCTTAAAGCGAGGTATTATCGTGTTTGAATTGGTTAGATTTTTGGATGAGGTATATAGAATTTGTAGTTTTTTAACCTTGTATAGCTTCTCTTGAGATTTGAATTAACAACTTCTAGTAACAACATTTAGTTGTGACTTTTTAAATAAATCCAGCTTCTGATGCGTAATAAATATTTTTATGGGATCAATGTATGTATTTATTTTTTCATTAAAAATAAAAATTATTGGAGAACCGCAAGTTTGTATTACTTCAACTGTAATTACTGGGGTCGATTACTTAACGAAAGGGGAAAAAATGGGGAAATGGTGACATAAAAGTTTGTTAAAATTCTTTAAGGTTTTTCTATTAATTAGTGGCAAACTTTTCAACAACTGTTAACTTTAAATATATATTTTCCGACTAATGCAATTAAGATAAAGGCGCTCAAATACTCGAAATTTAAAGTACCTACTTAATTACGATATATTGTATCAGTAAATTAGTGTATCTTCCGTAATTCAGTTAATAACTTTAGTGAAAATAATCTAAATGTTTTAATATACATATGTTTAGTGGTAAAACAATACTTTATCTAGGATTTGACCATAAACATAATGTTTTTAGGAGTTTGACCATTACCCAACATCTTATGGAGCCTATATGTACCCGACAGGGGCCGAACGGCCTGCCACTCCTCCTAGTCCTAGTGAACACAGCGCTGACCCTTCACCGTTGCCCATGAATGCTCAGCCTAATACCGGTTACCTTGGTTCTGGGTACGATGAACTTCCTGAACATTATAGGTAAATTTTTACATGAATTAGCCTGTGTTCTTGTTATGTAATAGAATCATTATAGGGTAACGCCATCACCGGGAGGTCCAATAGGAATAGATCCTTACCAGGATGACCCAGCGGTCGTTTATGGTTACGTTTCACCCTCTCCTTATGGGACAGCACCCCTATCACGTCCATATGTAGATAGTTTAAATGGCCCCGTTTCTGTGGCGCCGTCGTTGCGTATGTTTGAAGAGGAAGACCTTCAGAAACATATTAGTAAAATGTCGTTACATGGCCATAATGTTGGCTTGCCTCATGACAGGTATAACTAGTTTTAAATATTTTGGCCTGTTGTATAATATTGTGTTCCTTGTCACAGGGTTCATATTTCTTCACCGGGCAGCGTAGTTGGGGACGAAGATGGTCGAGGTATGCGTTGGAGAGACCCCAACCTACCTGAAGTGATAGGATTTTTAAATAATCCAAATAACGTGATTAAAGCTAATGCGGCAGCTTATTTGCAACACTTATGTTACATGCATGATCCAAATAAACAGAAAACCAGAGCATTGGGTAAGATAATTAATTGATACAGTATAAATGATCTAAATCAGAAGTGCTCAAACTAGGATTTTCTTAATACCAACATAGATCTACGAATATCAAATAGCTGACATTAAGTGCTAACGAGGTTTTATTTTTTCTAGGTGGCATACCTCCATTAGTGAAACTTTTGAGTCATGAAAATGCCGAGGTTTATAGGAACGCGTGTGGTGCTTTGAGGAACTTGTCATTTGGACGGCAAAATGATGAAAATAAACGCGCTATTAAAATTGCTGGTGGAATTCCAGATTTAATAAATCTCTTAAGGCGATCTAGCGAGGCGGAAATAAAAGAATTGGTGACCGGCGTGATTTGGAATTTATCTTCTTGTGAAGATTTAAAAAGGAGCATTATAGATGATGGCGTATTGACCATTGTTACCTTTATTATTATTCCGCATTCTGGGTGGGACCACCAAGGCAACCACGGAGAAACCTGTTGGTCTACAGTATTTAGAAATGCTTCGGGCGTCCTGAGAAATGTCAGTTCTGCCGGTGAATACGCTAGAAAAAAATTAAGAGAGTGTGAGGGCTTGGTAGACTCGTTATTGTTTGTTGTGCGCTGTGCCATAGAAAAATCCAACATAGGTAATAAAATTGTTGAAAACTGCGTTTGTATTTTGCGGAATCTGTCATACAGATGTCAGGAAGTGGAGGATCCTAATTACGATAAAAATCCTTTACCCACGCAAAGCAGAGTAGCGGCTAGTAATTCAAAAGGGGAAAACTTGGGCTGTTTTGGCGGCAGCAAAAAGAAAAAAGATGGCAACTCGTCAGAAAGTAAAGATAACAATTTCACTTCGTCGAATTCGACGGGTACCACAAGTGCAGCTTCTAGAGGCGAACCCGTTCGAGGAATGGAACTTCTTTGGCAGCCTGACGTCGTTCAATCCTATCTCGCTCTTCTGCAGAGCTGTTCAAATCCAGAAACGCTGGAAGCAGCTGCAGGAGCTCTTCAAAATTTGGCAGCTTGTTACTGGCAGCCTAGTATAGAAATTCGAGCGGCAGTTCGAAAAGAAAAAGGCCTACCTATTTTGGTGGAGTTATTGAGAATGGAGGTAGATAGGGTAGTATGCGCGGTGGCTACGGCTCTGAGAAATTTAGCCATCGATCAGCGCAATAAGGAACTCATCGGAAAGTACGCGATGCGGGATCTCGTCCAAAAATTGCCTTCAGGGACTCCACAGCATGATCAGGGAACTTCTGATGATACTATTGCAGCTGTTTTAGCTACTTTAAACGAGGTAAGATATTATAATTCATTCGCAATTCAATTTAAAAATTAGTATTTATATACAAATCAGTTTATAACGTTTTTCGTCGTCTCCTGATTTCCCGTTTACATTGGTCTCTGTATGTCCAGAGGTTTTAGTCTATTCCGCTTGTTTTGATGTTCCCGTTTATTCCTTCTCTCCAACTCCGTCTAGGTGCCCCTCTCTTTCTTTTACCTTGTGGTGTTCAATTGAGGACTTTCTTTGGAATTCTGCTCTCTTCCATTCTTTGCACGTGCCCGTACCACTTAAGTTGTTTCTGTACGTAATTTCTTGATCAAGGCTACCATCGTTAGTTATGTGCATGCCAAGATATTTACATTTTTTGCAGTGTTTTGTCTCCTGCTGGTCTAGGATTAACTTCTGTTGTTCGCCGCCGATATACATACATACATATATTCAGTCTTCTAAAGGTTTACCTCCAGCACCCGCTTGTCGTATTCTTCAATTAGTTTGCGGCCTCGTATATACCAATCCTCGTAGTCTTGAACCAATATTACTTGATCATCAGCAAAACAAAGAGTGTATAGTATCAAATCGTTAGTAGCATCCTCATCTGTTTGCACTTCCTTTTCCACGTTTTCAGGGCTTGCTCCAAATTTATTTTAAACAGTGACGGAGACAGACAACAGCCCAGTTTAATACCTTTGTTTATTTGATAACAGCCTTAATTATGGTTATACTCTCATTGGTTTTCTCGAGAGATTCCCACAATTTAGGCTGAGGTCTACTATCATATGGTTTCTTGAGGTCTGCGTTGAGGGGATGTGTTTCGTGATTTCTTGCCATCTTTATTAAATTAGTAGTCTCTTTTATAAATTGCAAAAAATCATAATTGACAGGTAATTGACTGATTACCAATTATCTAATTTAGTGTCTTATCTAATTATTAATTTGCCCGGTCAATAACCAAATTCACAACTTTTAATGTGCTTTAAATATATCTTTATACAGGTGATAAAGAAAAATGCCGAATTTTCAAGGTCTCTGTTAGAGGCTACCGGCGTAGAAAGACTGATGACCATAACAAGGCAACGACAAAAATATACCCCTAGGGTACTGAAATTTGCAGGGCAAGTTTTGTTTACTATGTGGCAGCACCAAGAACTTCGCGATGTTTACAAAAAACATGGATGGAAAGAACAAGTACGTGTATTTTTATTAGTATATGCAGAATAAGAAAGGGAACATAATAAATTAAACCAAATATGTTTTTTTTTCAAGGATTTTGTGACAAAAACCGTGGCAGCTCGAAATGCAGGTCCCAATTCGCCAAACAACGCCAATAGTACGCTCAATAGACCAATATCTTCACAGAGTGGTACGCGCTATGAAGACAGAACAATGAAGCGGTCAGCACCGGGTGCTAGAGGTCCTGTTTTTAGAGTAAGCATCGTATTTTTTGTCACCAACTAGAAAACTTTTATATTTAATTAAGAAATAACTTTAATAGTATGATACTTCAAAATTAAATCAAGCGAATTGGAACCTTAATGACAATTTTGACAAAATCTGCTAAAAGTAGAATGAACAAGTATTGCATTCTTTCAGTTTTAACCTTACTATCTCTCTTTCAGGATGACATACCAATGGCAGACATGGCGTATCCAGAGAACGCACCCATAATGGGTCGGTCTTATCCTTCTGGTTCTAACCCACCTCCTGTAAGTCATTAATGAACCTGTTTTGTCACGATACCTTATTTTTCACAGGTTCATGTCAATTTCATTTAAACACCGCGATCGAAATGCTTTAATAAAAGTCATATATAAGTGAATTGGACAAAAAGGAAATAAGCACAGACTTGCTCAATGCCTAGTATTATTAATTATATGACTTGTATGTATCTATTTTTAACATACTTAGTGTGCGAGGGTGTGTAAAAATCCCGTTTTAATTTCCTTTATGCTCTCAAATCGTTTTCACATTCCGCTAGGTGTTTTCAGACATGATATATACACATTACGAGAATTTATATATATAGATACATATAACGTGTATTCAATCTCACACCATGATTTCTTCGTTTATTTATAAATATTAATTCTGTTTTGTATTATAAATAGTATATATAATTCAAATAGTTTACATGTTATTTCTTTTCTATTACATATACTTGTATCGTTGGAGGATTTTATACAAGGCCTATTAATCGCTGAAATTACTGCCTCATTTACAAAAGTAGTTATGTAATGTCATTAGGTATTTTAAGTATATATTATATATAGTGGTATAATAATCTCTTTGAAATGGGACGGTGCAATGATTGGCATTGTTGATTGAAGTTTATTTATTGAATTCAGTCTCTTTCTTACTAATTATTACTAGTTCTCGTAAGATATTAACCAAAGCTAAATACACTTTTAACGTTTAGCCCATTATTTATTTAGTTAATAAATAAATATCTATTGATTTAATGTGTTTTGTTGAGTAATAGCATATTCTCTCATTGTATCTTCCCATGCCATTTTTATTATTTACTTAGATTTTTATACTTATATATTTTGATTTATTTTATCAGTATTGTCCCTTTTGTTGTTGTGATGTGTTTTATACATTGGTTTTTTATTTTTATATTTGTACATTTTTACAATTAGTTGTTTTTACATTTAACATTTTTATTTTATTTATTTTATATGCGTCAAACATACACGTATTTAGTTAAATTCTCGAAGCAAATAGTCTATATAAATCCTTCAAAAAAGGTCGAATATTAGTTTGGTTTGTTATATATTGTAATCGAAGGTGACAAAAAGGTCTTCCTTCAATTTTTTCCCGCTTATATGAAAACTAGACTAGAATTTTAGAACTCTAAGGCAGATAGTTTATCACACGAGCTAGCGATTGGTTCGAACCAGCACAGTTCAACGATCAACGCAGATTGACGAACACCGAAGGCTCAGGGCTGTGCCCCAGGTAAGGCTACATTTACAGAGCACTAGCGCGTGCCGACTCCTGTGCCGTGGCTGCGTTACTAAATATTTGATGCTCTTGGTACCACCAATTATTTAATGTCGATATTTACTATTTTAGTTGCTCTGTATGTATTACATTATCGCGATATACCGCACCGTAGCGAAATTCATTGTATATCAAATCGTACATCAATAACGTTCTGAATTGATATCGGCATTTTATAATAAGGGATAATTTGAGAAGTGAAATTATTTTTAAGTAGTTGAAAAAATATGTTGTGTTACTTTCATTGTTACATGATACATGAGCTTCATATTTCAAGGTAGCTTTTATGGGAGTTAGGTTAGGTCTTGCGGTTGTTTAGCTGATTCCACGTGCCAGCACTAGAGTCTGCGCGCGCAGTGATCGTAAATGGGCCCTTAGGCTTGACGGCAGTTGCCCAGGGCCTTTGGTTTAGCGCGCTCAAAAACAAGAAGGCCCTGGCCAGCTTCTATCATGGCTTGGGTCAGGGTAGATAGTAGGATTGTTTTACTTTACATTTTTAGTATAAAAATGCGGATTTTAAGTGTTAGCTAAATTTCTGTAGAACATTTTTCACTCTATCACATAAAGTCCGCATCATATGAGAATGAATAGTTTCATAATTATATTTTTTTTTCGTGAAACATGTTTAAATATTCATATTGTATGATTGCTTAGAAAACAAAATTAATTTCTCATTTAGGATTTTTCGAATTAGCGTTTTCCTTCAAATGTATTTGCTGATACTTTTAGATAAAAATATAAGGCAGGTGCTTAAATTTCTTCATTAAATAAATTGCTTATGTAGAAAAACATGTTGGGGCAAAAGAAGTTTTTAAATTAACAGTTATACACTAGTTTCTTTTTAATTTGTGATTTAATTCAGGGAGAAAAATTCAAGAAAAAATTACAGCAGATGTAGGCATCTAATATAGTCCTCATTTTTTTAATCACCTCCTGAACTTTCTAGCCCTTATTTATTAATATCTTATACAAAAACATATATTATTGGCTACTCTTAAAATAATTCTGAGGTTACAATAAAATGTTTAAATATTTCTTCGGATTTGTGTGAATTGAGATTAAAATTAAATTAGGGTTTATTAATTGCAGTTTTACCCTTAATGACTACACTGAACTTTTCCTTTAACCGCTACTAGAGTGGTCTGTCTACCTCTTTTTAAGTGATATAATTTATAATGTAGACAATGTAGACCGTTTTTTTTACAAACTGGACAGATATACTGTGTTCCTTTTATGTTATACGGACACCTAGAGCAAAGATGTCTCATCTCTATACAGCTGTTGTCTCTCTTCAGCTGTTGTTTCGCATACCTTGGTGTTCTACAATATTCGCCCTGTAGTAAGTTCTCTTGGAATTGTTTGCTTGAGTAATTTCAAAAAAAACATTATTCAATTGAGTTACAACAGCTTTAGCCAGACGTTTAAATAAATCCAGACGTTGCATTTATAAGACATTTTAATAGCTTTGGTCTATAACATATGCATTTATAGTGCTACTATTTGAAAATAATTGTCTTTGCTTCTCAATATAAATTTTGCCGTATGTATTTATGATTCTCTAAAATATACCGAACTTAATTTTATTTATGTTTGTACTAAATTTAGCACATATAATATCAAAAACTATACAATATCTATAAATTGCAGACACTGCAATTGCGCATATTATAGACACCTCTCGAATCTATATTCTATAAATCAGCACTCGGAACGCTAACCAGTTTATTGCTTTTCTAACTTATTCAGCGTTTATTGACGTGAAGCTACATGCATCCTCACCACTGCAATTGCCTGCGTTTGCAACGTAGCTCAAATAGCCAACCATAGATATGTATATCCGCAGAATAGTCTGTAGAATCTGCAGATGCATATTCTATGGATATGCATATCCATGGTTGACTGTTTGGGAGAGGAATACTTTGCGAGGTCCCTGAAAGACCACTCTTTAGCCGTTAAGTGTTAAAGAAAGTCAAGGGTGACATGATGAAGTTCAACTTTGTTTTCGATAAATCTATAGATTGTTTGCTGTAGGCGTTTATTAGTATTTTTTTACTTAGAGATAGCTTTCTAATAAATTGTTATATTATGGTGATTGCATAATGTTATATGTTTCAGCCGGAACCACTTTATGCGCAGGTAAATATGGAGAAAAAGCGCAACAGACAGCCCAGTCTAGGCAACGCCAGTTTAAACCACTTGAGCGATGGGGATCAAGCGCAATCCGGCCAGGGTCAAGCCCCTTCACTTAGCGTGCCTCCTGGAAAGGACTCTTGGGTCTAAAACAATTCTTACAAAGTCAGATCTAAAAATGTTCTTTGTTTTATCTCATTAAATAAGGATGTGTTGTTATGGACCTTTTTTGTCGCGTTTAAGTGGCAAACTAGGGCACGACGATTATTCGAATAGTGGTGCAATTTTAGTTAGATAAATATTTTTCCGGATTTTTATATATATATATATTTTTAGGATATTTTTTATTTTGTAAAATATTATAATGAATGTTTTAAACATGGAGAATGGACATAATTATTTTATTTTTAGGCTTGACGACCATTTGATGGTTCAATGAGAAGTTGTTTTGCCATATGTTATTTTTGTTACTTTGTGAGAGAATATTTTTAGATCGGACTTAAACATTGTTATATATCAATGTTTTTTTTTCGATCGTATGTTGAGATATATAATGCACTGATTCATATTAAATATATATATTTAGTTTATGGTTTACTGTGATTAAGCTTCAAAAAGAATAAAAAGCCTGTATATATTATTTTGGATTAAAGTTCGTTTTTACGATATTTTTTTTATTATACAATTTATTTGGATGGAATGATTTATTATATACTTAAATTATAATCGTATAAACACATAGGTATAGTAAAAAACTGTTCTTTTTTTCCTTTAAATTATATTTTATTTTTATTTAATGACTTTTTATTATTAACATTTAATCAAAATGTCTATTTGAACTATTCAACATTACCATAGTCAATTTTAATATTGTTTATAATGAAATAAACCTATTATAACTTGAACATACTTTTATTGAAGTAGAATTTTTTTCTAACGTTATAAAACTAGTTAAATAAATAAATATAAAATGTATTAAACCATTTCAATTGAGCAAAACGCAAAGTGGCGAAAAATAAGGACAATTATTCTTGTACATAAATATATCTTTAAGAGGTTGTATAAGTAAAGTTACCAAAAATATTCCTACATTAGAATAGCTTCAACTTAATACACTAAAACTTATTTTAAAGCGTAAATTAAGACTTATTTGGTAACAATGTTTAAAATTACTCAGCCGAATAACAGTACATTTCTTTTAAAATATCTGTTATCTCGATAAACCTAACGATTTTTCCTAATAATGATGTCTTAAATAATATGGATTAATAGATTAATTTAATGAATCGGAAAAAAAATAACTCAAAACGTAGATTTCATAAATTTTTCTAATATGTATAACTAAACCTGTAAAAACTCAACTATATAGCAATGAAAACGATGGTACAGCAAGCGAAAAAAAACTTTTTGGTTTGAGGTTTACTATGTCTATAGCTGTTTTTGACAATAAGTGATAATGTTGCTACTTTTAAAACTTTTTAACGTTCTGCGCAAACGTAGTTATATTTTTCTTTTCATAGTTATGCAGTGGTTTTAACATTTAAAAAGAACTTGAGGGAAAGACATAGTAGAGCTCAAATGAAATTTATATTTCCACTCCTACTATGATGTCGTTTTCATTCGATATAACAGTATAAAAGGGAAATTAAGTAAGAAGAAATATTTACATTTAAGGGAGGACAATGAAATACCTATACGAAATATTTTTGGCTTAAAAAGTTTTTAAGGGAAGAAGTACTACGTGTTACTGTAACTAATGATTTGGTTGATCCAACCAATGAAAGACGATACTTTGACGTAGACTCCTGGTACGTCGACTCTCCCACAGCCAAATCCCCAAGACACCAAACCGACCAGTTCAAAAAACCCATCATCTTCGCAGACTAGTGGTCCACCACCATCTCCCTATAAAAGAATTCAATATTTTTGTACTAGAATTCATATTATTTTACTAAAATTCAGATAAAAACAGATTCAAAACCTCTTTATATGTTAAACGTTACGTTTTGGCAACTTTTACTGACAGAAATTATTACCGAATGCTAATGTAATATATTCGAATGCCATAGCAATACCTTTCTTTTATCATGCGGTATATTGTGTGTTAGAATATCGTTTTTTCTATTTTTAAATAAGCTCTAAAACTCACATGTATTATCCACTGAACTTACTTTAGGATAATCTTTTAAATTCGACCAATTTCATATTTATAAATACCTGAAGTTAAGTGTTACGTGTCAAACTTAAAAGATATTTAGAAAGTCGAATTTAAACAATCCTTGTACTTTATTTTTGTACACTGTAAATAGGCTAAACGAATATTCACCAAAACATCTTATGTAATAAACATTTTAGATTGTTTTAATACACAGATTGATTTAGATATATTCTTTAAAAGAAATCTTGGTTTATTGAATTAAGACGGTAAGAAGGTAAATATAATGCAGATTTTAATATAACCGTTGATTGAACGAATTATTTCTACAATCAATGATATAACTAAAAATTTTGCCTATTATTTTCAAAAGTAGTTCTACTGACCTGACATGCGTCATTTCCTTCCTCTCCTCCAGCACAAAAGCTTCCTGCAGGAAGGATAAATATTTTCTCTGTGACGGAATTCACTTTTCTAATGCATTCTGAATCGCTCACAATGGGAATTTCGGCCTCTCGTACTTTAAGAGGTATTGGGCCAGCTTCTTTCATATAACCATATCCAGTGACAATACAACGCTGCCCTGCTGACTTATTAACACCCCTGCCTGGTAAACACACCAGACATACGCCTTCCTTGAGTTCTACTGAGCCTTTGAGTTTGAGCAAAGCGACATCGTTGTCCAAAGTTTGACTATTGTGATTGTGGTGAATGTATGTCGTTTCCACTTGGAGTGTTTGAGCTCCTGGACTGCCATACTTTTTGGTTAGGTCGTGATCGCCAACACGCACGTAAATTGTGTCTCCTGATCGGACCATTCTATAAATTATTTTGAGTTAGTCAAAATTTTAAGAGGAAACTTAATATTTTGGTTTACTTTGTTATGCAGTGTGCTGCAGTTATAACCCACTGACTGCCAATTATTGCTCCTCCACAAACGTATTGATTCATTGTATTGATCAGAGCCACTTGCCAGCACCATTCACCTTTTTCACCATCTTCACCCCCAACAACACGACCTCTTCGGGATGTACCCTTAACACCACAGACGTATTTGCTGTACACCTTGCTTTGTTGCGTTGTCATGATCGACTTTGTGATGTCTGTAGCTAACAAAAATTATCGATTTAGAGTTAGTATAACACTAAATAATATTCATTCATTTTATTAGTAACAATATATTTTCGCTTTAGTTACTTACTTGTAGGAAATGTAACAGGTGGTTGCATAGTGTACGATGATCCTGGGTTCGTTGTACTCTCTTTTATCCCTACCTCATCTTTTTGACCTAATACTTCTTTTATTAGGGATTTAGGAGCACAGCATTTCAATCCCGGTTTTTTGCATTTGAATACATCAGTCAATTCTGCATGATCTAAAAAGAAAATTATTTTTATTTTAATATGGTCAGCTCAACTTCAATGGTCAGCTCAGCTTCAACAAGTCAGTATAGTGGGTACTTTGTTCTAATTATTACCATAGGACAGCAGGCACTAAAATAAGTATTTGCTATAAGTTTTTGCACCATGTAAAAATGACTTCGAAACTTTCTTTCTCTGAAGACTACTAAATTTTAAAGTTATTTACCTATTACCTCTAAGTTAATATTTTGATACAAAATAACAATGCTGCATAACCTTGCAATACTTGATACTTTTTACTTTAAATACTTAATATATGCAGGGTGTCCCAGAAATAAGTGCAAGTATTTTAAGGGGTGGTACACCTCGATAAAAGAAACATATTTTCTTTTTGTCGTTTTTCTTAATTATCGAGAGATTAGTTTTTTGACTGAAATTGTAAAATTTGTGAAGTTTTATTTTTTTAAATTAATCATAAATTTTTCTTTGAAAAAATTATGTTAAAACTGTTTCTGACTTCAGAATCTTTGGCACAAAAACATTTCAAATTTATTATTTCAGTCTAATAACTGTCTAGTCAACATGTTTAATTTATGCCATTGATGACATGTATTGATTATTTCGATTGCAAATATCTTGAGAATGGTTACTCATAGCGATTTTTACCTAGAGGGCTTTTTTGCACAGAAAACGACGGAAATGTAATATTTTTGCACACAGAGTAGATGTATACCAGTGCGGACGATTAGATATTTTATTTCAAACCATTTAAAAAATACGTAGGTCCCTCTACATGCAGGAGTCATATTGATATAAAAATTAAATTTCTCATGTCCAAAAACTTCCAGACACCAATGTTCATCCAAATAGGTATCGTTAGTTCAGAAATTATTTGAAAAAATCGAAATAAAAATTGAACTCTCTCCGAAACGAAACATTTTTGGACTCGCATTTCTATGAACCTTTTAAACGCATTTCTACTTTTAATTTATTTTTATCTGGAGAATATGCTGCCGAAGTTTCCGGAATAACAATTCTGACCCTGTAAATGTCAGGTGTAGGGTGTTTTCACTACCTCAGGGGTTCACATCTTGTGAGTACGGGTGTGGCAAGCCCGAGGTGCCCTAGCTGGATGCTCACTTTGCTTCAACTCCTTTTGAGTGAGATCCATTCTATTCTTTTTTTCTCTCTTTTGATCTATCCTGATTAGTACTTGTTTTACGAGTTTTTTTTATTATCCTTATGATCACCAAGGCAAGTGTGAGATGTTCTATATGGATGTTCACTTTGCTATATTTATGTTTTATAATATATATATATTTTTTTCATATTTAAGGTAAGATTACTTATCGAGTAATTTCATAGTGAGACTTTGTTGTGCAAAATATCTCTTATCCTGTTGTAGTTACTTAGAAATCTCTAATGCTCTTCTAACACATATCATATACTTACTGAAGCATGTAACGCTGAAATAAGACACAATGCAAGGGCCCGGACAATCTGGTCGCGGGTCAATTGTAGTTGTTGTAGGTGGAGGTGTATAATGCACTTTTTGCGGTTTGGGTTTCGGAGGGCTAGTACTAATACGGGTATTGTCACAGCAAATAAAACCTCGTCCGCAAGTGGATGTATGTGAGATTAATACTGACGGTTTCGTACAGAAAGCTGTCATTACATCAACTAGACAGTACCCTGGACAAATTGGGCCTGGTTTTCTTGTCGTCGGTTGTGGCGTGGTTGTTCTTCGAGGGGGTTCATCTACAGGTTCATCATCCTATTTAAATGAAATAAATAAGATTAGATTTAATTACATTATCATCAGTCATCTAGTATGAGCAGTCGGAGCAAACACACCTATGAAGATGCTAGCCACTCGTGTTAGTGAAACGTTAGGAAGCAATTCTAACCGACGACGCCACATACGGGTATTTTGATTATTTAAGCGGCCAAAAGTCAATTTTGTAGAACTCATTGCAGAAGGAAATAGAGTAGACCTGACGGAAGCTGAATAGCGGCAGAATAATAGGCAACCCTGTATTCAATGGCCAACATGATAATGGATCAGTAATATCAAGTCACCTTTGATCCTCTTTTACATGTCAAAGTTTAGTTTGAACAGTGTGTACATTAATTATCCAAGATATTCTTAAGCACCTTTAACAGTGTGCAAAATCATTGCATTGGTTTTGCTTTCATTTTAAATAATTCTTTCACATAGCTAAAGGTTTTTGTTATACTTCAGGGTTCGTCCGACATATTTAATAAAGTTCAGTGTCAACTTGAGAGTATATAGAAAATTATTATCACTAGTTTAGCTGCTAATAGCTGCGCAATATTGTGTTATGCAGGTTTTAAATTTGTTTGTGTAAAATGCAACATTAGTAATTCTAGAACAATTTCGATTCGAAGAGTATCTAACTTTGTTTCAGGGTCGTCAAATGCTCGAGTAGTAAGTCGGAGGTACTTGTTTGAAAAAATGCAAGAGCAAGATTTGCCTACTTTTGGCGATAAATTAGAGTATCTTGAAAATAATATTTTGGCATACCAAAATTATTCTGAATACTAAATAAAAGATTTAAAGCACAGATTCTCGTACATCAAGTTACAATTTAAGCAAAGATGGTCTAATGCCCAACGAAATCTTGATAACTTCCTTAAAAAAACTATGCCTGGTTAGAAGGAACGTTTGAACAACCTTTGGTAGCACACCGTTCAGGGCGTCCACCAAAGGACTTTTCTGAATTAAGCGAGAGAAGTCAACGAAGACGAACTGAAGAACTAGGAAGTAGGCAGCACAAATAACACTTCAAACCTCGGGAAAAAGAAGTGCCTCGCAGATGCTTAAAGAGATGATCATTTCACCCAATTGTGCAAAAAAATATAAAACTGCATACACTAAAACTCTACAGGATGAAAAAGACAATAAACTGGCACCTATTTGCGCACTTTCAACGTTTGTTGAGGCTGATCTGACTAGGCGGCAATACGAAATTATTAGAAACACAAATAAAAAATTGTATCCTTGCTATAGTGTACTTCAAAAAGCAAAAAAACAAAAAATCGGATAAAACCACTTTTTTGTTTGTGTTTAAACTAAATATACTTTTGGCCGCCTAAATAATCAAAATACCCGTATGTGCGACGGCCTAATTACCCGAAAAACCAAATTTCTTCAAGATTAGATTTAATTTCATTTTATGTCGAAGTAAATCCGGAGCTTTTTTAATCAGTTTTATTGATATAAAGTTCTATGAATGTCACAGAGCAGTTTTTAAAGGCTTGTTACTTGTAAAAAATGGCTATCCAACAATAAACCCTTGTGTGAAAAAAAAACTTTTTTTTTTGACGTAAAATGTTTGAATTAACGAACATATACATATATTATATAAAAAGTAGATTTTTACAAATCTAACATTTTTTGCATTCTTGTATCACAACTCCATACAATAAATTTTAAAAATGGCAACTTTTTATAATGAACCAGTAAGTTTTTTAATTCTCAAATATAAGTAAATATGTGGCTCATCTAACGCCCTTTCCTCTATTATTTGAAAAAACCTACCTCATAAAATAACCCATCATAAGAAGAAACCAAAATTATTACAGTACGTCTGCTGGATCTGTGTCTATGAAAGGAATGCGGACAAAAAAACATTTAAATAAACAGCAATATATTTTATACGTCGACTTGACGGGTACGTCACCGCAAATCGCTGCCCCCTCTCATTTTATTGGCTACTTGCAAATTTTCCGAATTTTTATTGATGGGACGCGTCGTCTAATTTTTTACAAAAAACATCGAGAGAATATCGTTTCCCCTCTCACGGATATCCCGTAGCTACAGAACGGACAAACGTACTGTATATAATTCTAGACATTTGAAAGCTTTTTTGTCTCTTCATTAGACAACTGTCATGAAGTAAAAGCGGTTAATTTTAAATTTTATTTTAAGTTATGAAGGTCCATCAGAGCATCAATGGTTTAATAGACATCCCTGTGCTAAATAACAGTAATCCTGATAAAAATAAAGAGCTAAAAGGTAAACTATTAAGAAAGAGTTAGATTTAGCTACTTTAAATATTTATTCTTGATCAATTTCTGGTTTAATTTTGGCCTGGGCGACGGGGGGCGGTATACCACCTGAAATTGTAAGAATTTCTGTTGGTTAGGCAAATTTGTTTACAAGTAAAAGCTTCTAATACATAGACATTTTACTAAACATAATTGTTTATATTTGTTTTTCAGTGTGTCATCGAAACTTTATTAGGGCGAGGGCTAAATAACATTGTTTCATGGATAATTTACTACACAATATACCGGGTGCGTCTCAAAAGTGGCTCACCCCTATAACTTTTTTATTTTTTCAGATAAAAAAATCGAGATTTGGTATGTTAGTATATGGACATAAATTAGGATTGATTGACGTATTCATTTGTTTTCGGTCACTTCCTGTTTCACCGGAAATGACTACAACTTTTGATTTTGTAAATGTCACCCTTAGTATTGTGTTACTTTATTCGATAGACAATTGACTCTGAATAGAATGACGTATCATATGTCAACTTTGACATTTTTGAATATGGTTTATTTGAAATTGCAACATGCGATTCATAACGACAATTTGACACGAAATACCAAGTGTGTGGTACCAAATTATTCCTAAAAAAATGCTTTTTTCAAATTTGCTAATGAGTCACCCTTGTTCCATTTGAAAAAATTGAGATATGATTAAAATATGATTTGAGCATCTTTTAACCGGCCAGGGCAAGACACTAAAAACAGTAGACGATCAAATCTATTTTTCCAAGGCTCCTTGATTAAAAATTAGTGTTTTTAACACACATGGAACTCTAGATTGAAATTTAAAATACAATTTTGTTTTAAGCAAAAATGTTAAAAGTTGACACATGGGGTATTCAGAATATCGTTTTCTATCGAATAAAGTAGAAAAATACCGAGGGTGCCGTTTAAAAATCAAAAGTTGTTGTCATTTCCGGTGAAACAGGAAGTGACAGAAAACAATTGAATACGTTAATCAATCCTAATTTATATCATATACTAACATACCAAATCTCAGAAAGACGCACCCGGTATTATGTTATTTAATCTTGCTGTTAATCGATTCGTATAAGTGAATTTTTTCATATGCCTATAGTATTAATAAAGAAAGTAATCTGAAACATGTGGTTAATATTAGTAAAACGCTAATATTAATGCGAAATATTTATTAGTATTTTTACTAACCAGGGATATCCCCTCCAGGGTGAATATTTTTTGGATTTCCGTTATTAGCAAGTTTAACTGTAGTTAAACAGATAAAGTAGAATAAAAATATGTACGGGTACATTTAATGCGGGTATGGATTTACATGCGTTAATATCACAAAACAAATACGGAATAAGTTAGCTCGTTTTCTAGACTAAGTGTTTATATTATCTAGGTCAACGAGGTTTTCAGGCTGAGTTGGGAAATCTCAGGTAATTTTGCAACGAGGAAGGATACTTACAGGCGCTGAAATGCAACATGCTTCGTTATTTGGACAGACCGCATTCGGGTCAATATCATTGCAAGCAAGCAGGGCGAAAAATCCATTCGTACATTCCCCTGGACATTGTTTGGCGAACTGGGGCTTTGTGGTTGTTACTTCATTTACCTTAACCAACGAATATGGCGTTGTCGTTGCTGGTGTTGTAGTTGTTGATGTAGTGGTTGTAGTCTTTGGCGTTGTTCTCGTTTCGATTTTCGTATAGTTGATTTTTGTTTTATTAGGAAATATTATGTCGGTTGATTGATTCTCACCGTAAGATTCGCTGGAGATGCAGCATTTCAAGTTCGGTTTGCACAGGTTTGTTATGTTTAATATCGCCTCGCAGTAATCTGCTACGCGTTCCTCCACACATACACCTTTTTTTTCGGTACATGGACTCTTATTTTCTTCGTTGACGGTTGAATTGGATTGACTGTTTGAAGCTATCTAAAATAGTTTTATTACAGTTCTTATCGACGAAATATATGTGGACACAGGAAAGTTGTTAAGTGGAAGAATATATAGTCAGTTTGCTAGAAAGGCTCTCCTGGGACCACATATACACATGACCAAAATTATTGCATATATCGTTTAAAAATATACGGAAAGGAATTTAAAGAATCTTTTTTTATACATAGCTTTGATCATCTGTAATAAACATTTTTTTGTTAAAATGAATATGGTAAACGATGTTTATCATTCAGACCCAATATTATTACAAATCCTTGCACATTTCGATTTGTGGTCTCTTGGGTTTGAGAAGAAATTTGACCATTGTTTTGGCCTTAAAATGCCTAGAAACATTATTTCACAGTTTAATAGAGTCAGAAAAGTAACACTGTCTCAACTGGGCTACTGGCAACTTGCAACTTGCAATAGCTGAAATTGTAGGAGTTAACCAAAGCGATGTTTCGCGAATATTAAAAAAAATCAGGGAGACAAACGAGGTTACAGACCGGTCTGGAAGAGGTAGAAAGAGAGATACTACTGCTGTGCAAGACCGTTAAAAATCCCTAATTGCACGACGCAATCCCCTGCTTTCTAGTACTGCTATTAAAAATGAATAAGCTCGCCTTGAAGGAGTAAATGTTTCAAGAAAGACCATAGCAAGAAGACTCCATGACAGAGGATTACATTTAAATAGGCCTCTACGTGTTCCGAAGCTTAATTTACAGCACAAAATTACGCGACTACAATGGGCTGAGGAGATGAGAGCAAATGGACTTAATTGGAATTTCGTCATGTTTAGTGATGAAACAAGAATAGGCCTAGTGTCAGACTCGCAACGAACTTTGGTCTGGAGAGCATCTGATGGAAGACGAGCACGCTTGAATGCAGCTCAACCCCGTATCCCGTTTCAAGGGGGAAGCATTATGGTATGGGCAGGTATAATGAACGGAGCTCGAACTCCTCTTGTTTTTATTGATGGCACAATGACAGGTGCCTCATATCTTAGAGACGTTTAAGAACCTATTGTGCGTTCATTTCGAGGAGCAGTGGGGGATGAATTTGTTTACATGAACGATAATGCTCCTCCCCATCGCACCTTAGCGGTTCGCGAATTTTGTGAGGAAGAAGGTATAAGGAAAACTGTGGTGGCTACCGATGTCTCCAGATATGAATGTGATCGAGCATGCTTTCCCCCCGTACCTTAAATGAATTGAAAAACGCGCGAAACATGGGAAACCATTCATCAACATTTTTTGGACAACTTAATTGAGGCTCGAGGAGACAATACAGACTATTAGTTGTGAGAAATAATTAAAATTGTTTTCAATATTTTCTGTTTAAAATGAAATTTGTTTTTGTTGATTTTCACTCATTATGAAATAAAATTATAATAACAGCCTAGTTGCACTTAGATTTTTAATTTTATATTAGTCGTGTAGTAAGCAAATATGTCCAAAATATAAAAAGAAATCATATTAGGTTCATAATAAAATAAAAATATCGTTATATGCAATAATTTTGGCTATGTGTGTAGATAAGATAGAGTATATTTATGCCTTATTGTTTGCTGTAGTTGTACTGGATGTTGTTGTTGTATAAGGCGTGGTGCTCGTAGTGGTTCCACTAGTAGTGCTGCTGCTTGTTGTGGCGATTGTCGTGGTTTCCTGTTTAACTGTGTCATTGGATTCAGATGTCTCGGTTGTGTTAGGTTGTGTAGGTCTTTCCACGCAACATTTCATCGATGAGGATGGGCATTGGACGTCTTCCAACACGTCGTCGCATATCAATGTTGCCAATGCGTGAACGCAAAATCCTGGACAGTCCTTAGATTCCGCGGTGCTTGTTATTGTATCGAAGAGACCTAGAAAATAATTTTAGCTGAACAGACTTAGCTTGTTTACTCTATCAATGTAAATCCAGTTTGATTTCACAATAATTAATATTATTAATTAATTAAATTACAGTAAATTGATCTACCGACATAAAATTCTTTAAATTTGTATCTTGTGTGTTGTTTATACAAGTTGTCTTAGCTCAATAGTTGGTTTACTTATTTTATGTTACAAAGTATTTTTTCGTTATTTGATCAAATACCCTTTACAATTTATTTGTAAGTAAAATGACCACTTGACTAGAAATAGTTCTATTTTTCTTCAAATATATGATCAAATTTGCATCATATTCCCTATAAATGATTTGATTGGGATTGGTGAAATCTGAATGCTTGTATACATGTATGATTAAACTAAGTTCCAGGTGCCAAATCGCTATTACAGGTATGTTAACTATAATGCCATACAGCCGATTATAGAAACCTAATCTATATTTTATCACTATGATGATCTCACATCGACAAAGTTGTATTCGGTTTACATACTTGTTTAAATCAAATATGTGAAATGCAAATTACGAATTAAATAATAATATCGTAAAATAGTATAGCTGTTAAGTCGCGCGAATGAATTTTAAAATCTATCCCATTAATGAGATGTATGGATTAATTGATAACAGTTTGTTCACCTTTAAATATACGGTTAGCTTTTGGAAACTGGGAAATTCTGTAAATTATTTATGAGCAATCTTTGGTTCGGTGTGAATTAAAATTCCAATTATTTAACTGGCCTTCTTTTTGTCTCGATATTACGTACAAAAGACTATTGAAAACGTAAACTAACTTGACATGTCAATTTTAGATTTTTGCTGGTCGATCATGGTAAAAAATATCTAGGGCTCTTCTAGACATATACATGTTTATTTGGTGCAGTCTAATCTGTTTATGCAACTTATATCTATGTTAGAAACTTTTAATAAAAATATACCGACTTTTTATCGTCGTTCTTTTGGGAAAACGCATCTAAACTTTCTTTTGATTTTGAATTTACTATATGTAGTTGCAAACGCGCTAGTAAAAAGTTGGAAACTTTAAGCCATAATATATTATAGGTTTATGTTTCCCTTTTGTTCCAAACAATGCGACATCATTTTTGCGGGAATAAATTTGAAAAGGATTTTTTATACATAATTTTTTCTATTCTATCTATTTGCCAAACATATTTTAATATATTTTTATTTGGTGTTCCAAAGAGACTAAAAAAATTGATTAAAATTGTCTCCAATATTTTAATTATTAAGTTATGTTTCTTCTTTAGCGCCAATGTGTCAATGAATTATCATATCATATCATCCATGATGGTCGATAATATCGGAATATCATCAAAAATAGGTAAATGAAAATATATTAATTTATTATATAATGTTATATAGTAAGATATTTTTAATATTTTTGTCCTGCATTAATTCGAAAATTGATGTATTTTTATAATTTTTGATCTAAAGTTTTAATCTATTATAATAATAAAGATAAATATTAGAAAATAATTATATATAAAACTTAATAAAATACATTTGGTTTAGTATAACTGAAACGGGGAATGCTCTAGTTATTTTTTTTAATCAGCACAGATTTGATAGACATAGAAGAATAAAATGAAATAAATATATTTTTTAGAAAATTGAATATGACTCTATTATATAAGGCCCAAACAATTTGCTTTGTATATGTAATGGGAAACTTCCAATTAATAATTTGATAATAAATCAATTAATAATAATTATAAATATAGTTTAACTAATATTATATTTGTATTTATTAACTGAGTATAATACGATTACACTATTATAATAATTGACGTATTTATTGATGGTGTTATATACCCCCAGGCATGTATATTTTCCTAGAAAATTTACTATATAGTTTTAAATAAAAATATTCTTTACTATCATCAGTTATTTTTATATCTATCAATTATTTTTAATAACCTAATATTTTTGGTATTACCAACGAAATATATTTTCATAATTGAACAATAAATACTAAAACACATTTTAAAACATTTTACAATTTGTCATATTATTTGTCACAAGAAAATTTAAAATATTTTATGAGTGTTAAATTAATTTTTTTTATTGATTTAATTTTATTTTCTTAAAAGAAAAAAAGCTTTTATAAATCGTAACATTTTTATTATTTTAAATTAATTAAATTTATTCATTGACAAATAATAGACTAATTATTTATAATATATAATTTATAAATAAATATATTCTGAACAAAATAATAGATAGTTTGCTCTTTATAGCGTTTTATCAAGCATTGCCGTGTGATTTAATAATTATTAATTTTAATATATTATTGATATTATGAATGAAAAATATTTCTTGAGACTTGAAAACTAATTGTTTAAAACATCTCCTGTAGCGACTTTGAAATGTTTAAAAATTTGGCCTATTTTTGAAAAAAAAACTGAATGTGGGTTAAACGTTATTAGGTTACTCAGATCTGTGTCACGATATGAAATTGTTACAGGAAAAAAATAGCGACTTATTTAAACTAAAATGATTACACCATACTCATTTTATAACAGTACCGTGGGGTACCGTTGTTCGCCAAAACAAGAAAATGAATATGTGCGTTGGTCGCGCGAGATAAGACCCTTGTCATGAGATAAGACCTACCTGAGAGGAAGCTGCTAGCTAGCGAATCGTCTTGTGCACGAATATCGGACAGGAAAACGGATAGGAAAACCAACAGGATGGCGAAGAACCTTGTCCTAGACATCATAGGGTTCCAGACACGACCACTGTCAATACGCACCAAACATTAACTTTGCATTGCTTTGCTGCGGACGCCTCAGGCACTTTCCTTCATTCATGTATGCGCGAAGAGTCACTTCAACACAAATTTACCGTTGCTAATTACCGTGGGTTCTGTTTAGCGATCGGTGTGGTTCGGAACCTACCATATCGATGGTAGTATGTCTTCTGTGCTGACCGCGATAGTTCAAGGTTCCTCGGCCACTATTACTATACCTTCTTCTATCTCAACAAACCAGTCTCACATTTCGTACTTATTTATTATTTAGGGTAACCGTTTCAGCCGCTCTACCAGCGCTAATCGTCAGCTTTTTAAAGCATCATCTACACATAATGGTTTACCGGTCAGTCTTATCTGTACAGTTAAAAGGTTTCAAGTAAAACACATCGTGCGTAGACGAGAAAACGAATCGTTTTGCTTGAAATGAATTAAGACGGAACACCGTCTAAAGAATTGAGAGGATCATTCGATTTTACAACAAAACTGTCATTTTGCCTAAACTAAAAAAATATAAGTAAATTAACAAAAAAATATGGATATATTACAACATCTTTAATAAGCGACTTTTAAATATCCAATATTTTTGCATAATTTCACAAAATTGTTAATGTTAATGGTATTAATTAAAATTATATGTTTTTTCCGTCTTAATTATATGCATAATCGGTCTTAATCACAGGAAGTCAAATTATGTGAGATAAAAGAAAAAAAAAACTTCTATGGAACAGGCGTATTAAGAACAATACCAGCAAAGGCACAAAGTATCTCATAATATGCAGAAGACTGGCGGGAAATAGATGGGGCTGCGTCCATAACATTTTGCGCTGAATGTATACCATAATAGTAAAAGACCAATGATTACTTATCGAACAGTTGCTTGGTACACAAAACTAGAGCAACGTACAGCATGGCAAACGCTGTGCAAAATGCAGAGACCGGCATGCATCTGCATCATAGGTCACAGGAGCCATGAGAAAATGCCCAACAGCAGCAATGGAGGTCATAGTAGACCTAACACTACGGCACATTGTCATCGGTAGTTATGCCAATGCGACAATGATAAGAATAGTCATTTATTGAAACAGTGCTGGGAGAATATGCGAATATCAGTTCAGAAGTTTGGAGCAAAAAAGGAAAATTCCACTCCTCCAACTCCCAGTGGATGACATACCAAGAATGTACATCTTTGAGAATCACCTTACTGTAGCAATGAGCAATAGAAAGGATTGGGGAGAGAAACGTTTGTTTGGTAGGTAAAATACCATACCATAACGTGGTATCCTGATGCTTCCAAAACCAAAGCAGGAACGAGTATAAGAGAATTTGGGCCGAAAACTAAATACCAAACCAAACCGAATAAATGGGCAATATCCTAGCATCCTTCAGGCAGTAATCTACGATATTTAAAGATGCGTACAACTTATCTTAGATAGAAATTATCGGAAACAGGAAATAGCAATCTTATCCGAGAATCAAGCAGCATTAAAAACGAGCCCGGTAACCATCAATTCGAAGTTGGTCAAATGCCTAGAGAAGCTGAACAAATTAAGCAAAGAAAATAGTCCTCCTACTCTGGGTGCTAGCTAGTCATCCCATTCGCCACTTTACTTGACAGGTAAGGCTAAGAACATAATGAAGCGACGAGGATAGCGGCGGGTAACAGCGCTATACCGCATCGAGCAAGCCTCGAAATGCTGAAAAATAAAACGACAAAGAATAGCGAGGTACTTGCAAATTTATTATTTTCTTTTGCTTATTGATAATTTAAAATGTTAACAGTGGCTAAAAGTCTGGGCAGTAGTGTCCCAAACATTCGGTTGATTCGCAACCAACAAACCAGAAGGTGTTGTATACATGAAATTTTCAAAAACCGGAGTTAGTGTGGCAAGTTTTATAATCTTTAAGGAACATTTGTTGCCACTTCATCTCATAACTTATCTAAAATATACTGGTTATGATGATTACTATCTTTCTGGTCCCATAAAATCTCTCTTACAATTACTAAATCTATTAATTTTTGGGAATCCATCATTTTCTACAGCGCGACAGAACGACGAACAAAATTATTTGAATCGATTTCGCCGCTTGATCTAACCGCTCGAGCAGGTCGCCTTTACTATGTTCACACGTACATGTCCTCAAAGGTTTGATTTGGACGCGATGTCGTGCTGCTTGCTTGCCGCTCCACTATGTTCTTAGCCACAGTTCTTAGCCTAAAACGTTATGTTTAGTTTTAAGGCGGACTCTGACGATTCGTGTACTTGTACAAACATTTGTTATTGGGATATACTTGCCATGCGGTATGAGTGGTTTACAGCACTTTCAGATGGAGCGGACCGTCCGCGACTTCGAGCAAGTACGTAGTACAGTACGTCTGTCCGTTCTGTAGCTACGGGGTATCCGTGAGAGGGGAAACGATATTCTCTCGATGTTTTTCGTAAAAAAATAGACGACGCGTCCCATCAATAAAAATTCGACAGATTTGCAAGTAGCTAATAAAATGAGTGGGAGGAGCGATTTGCGGTGACGCACTCGTCAAATCGACGTATAAAATATATTGCTGTTTATTTAAATGTTTCTTGTCCGCATTCCTTTCATAGACACAGATCCAGCAGACGTACTGTAAGTAGTTTATATGAACAATTTCACATTTCTTGAAAAAACACGACGGATGGACGGTCCGTCGCGGACGCTATCCGCTCCATCTGAAAGCGCTGTTACTTGTGCAATTTTTTTGTCACACGTCGCGCAGCATGAACGCCAAGCTTGTTGCAAAAAAAATTGTTGTTGATTACAAAGATAGTATACTTGCCAAGTACGCAAATATAGGCGTACTTGCCAGGTACACCAGTCGCGAGAATCCGCCTTTAGAAGTTAGTTAGTACCCGAATCAATATATATTTAAATCTTATTGATTCGGGACAATTTATTAGTATGTAAACATAGATAAGATAATGTCTGCATAGTTCTCTCTTATTTAAATTTAAATAATGGATGTAACCATAAAAACCCATTTCCAGAAATTTGTAATAATAAAAAATGGAAAGTTTTGTAACCTGTTCAATTATATTTATTTTGGCTTACAGGGTATAATATATATTCCATAAAAAGTAAATAAAACTTGTAATTTGTACATATGTTTATAATTGTTTATAGTACACAGAATGATAATTTGTTGATCTCTGGATTATCATTATTAAAAAAAAATAATAATCACTTAGACACGAATTAAACATCATAATATTTGTTTTATCACCCGCTACTGAACTTTTTGATACTGCAAAGAGTTAAATTTAATCAAATTATAAAACTATTGCACGGAAAATAATTATTTATTTGAAAAATGCTTTTAAATTCATTATAAATCATACAAAATAATTTCTAAATATATTTTTTGAGGAAGAGTAAATTATTTATATATTTTTATAATAAATTGCCGCTCTATATTATTTAAATACAAGTTTATTACACGCTACTGAAGTTTAAATATAAATAAATATATTTTTTCCATCGAAAGCATAAAAAATTATCAAGCAGGCACGTTGCCCTGACAACGGCTTTTTGCGCCAAACAGCGAGTCTGTCTGTTGTGTTTATCGTAGTGATTACAGTTTCGCAGTGTTTTCTTAAAATATTTTAGAGAAGGTGTATTTGAAAGAGTTTTTAGTGGTCAAAATTATCCAGTTACATGTAAGTACACATATATTTCCTTTTTGAATGTTTTAATTTCTACTATACCGAGATTTGAATTCTGGAATTTGCTCTAAAGTTGTTTTTATATGTAATTCTATTCATGGACTTTTGTTACATAACATTGGGGCATTTTATTATTATAATGGTATAATTTCAGCTGTTGTTTATAGTACTGTACTTGTTAGAGCATAATGGCCTATGTTTTTGTATTCTACACCTTTTAAATAGTAAATATTTTTCATTTTTTTCGTTATTATTTACACATTTTCAGTTTCAGAAACCTTGGACAAATAAGACACATAAAATTTTGAAAATTTCAAGAACACAAGAATTTATCAAAATATTCATTTAATAGTTATTTTTGATATAAGTGCTAAAAGTGGTATTTTATTTTGTGAGAAGGGAAGTTTGGGTCACGACGCCGAAGGTGGAGTGTCCCATCTCTTCGAACAAAATAAAATCACTTTTAGCACACATATCATACACTATTTTTTCTACAAACAAGTTTATGCTCGTATATATCAAGGTATTACTTTTTACGTTAATGAATAATTCATAATATGTCATTCTGAAATCAAATTAATTATGAAGTTTATGGTTGCTAGGGTATAGTTATATATTTTATTTTGTAGATTTTTTTTTGGAGAGTATAATTATTGTTATCGCTTCAGTGTTAAAGTAAATCACGTGATTTACTTTTAGCACCAGTGCTAAAAGTAAATGACTTTTACCATCAGTATTTTTATTACATTTAAAAGATTAAATGGGCTTTGGCTTTAATATTTTGTTAAATTCTTGTTTTTGAGCGATTTTTGAAGATGGTTAAAGCTCTTTCCACATTTAGTATTGTACTCTTATGGCCACAATGGCCTATATTTTCTTATTGACATCTTTTGGTTCGAAATAACTCAGTTTTAACTGTGGTTTTACCAAATTCAGTGCCATGTCATGAAAAATGTTTGAAAAAATGCCCATTTTTTTCGCTATTAAAAATATTATAAGGTACACGAGTTATAATTGCCAAATAGCTTTTATTTATTATTAGGAAACGTGTAAAATTGTTGACAAACATTTTCCTCGTGGCTGAAATGCCGGCAGACAACGCGAAAGAGGCATAGAATTTTGACAAAAGAAAATCATGGCATACATGTATGTCGGTTGGTGGAATGTCATGTTTATTGTTAATTAATTTAAAAAGCCGTATGCAAAAGGGCAGACCAAAAAATAGTTATTGAAATAATAAAAAATATATTTATAATATAATCGTATATTATATGATTTATCTATACTTAAATGGATGAGGCGGTCAGCGTTCCCTGAATAAAGCGCTAGAGTAATATCGCGCTTTTGATAACTGTCTGCAGCTGATTGAGCCACGATCTTTTTGTCGGCACTTTTGCATACGGCTTTTAAAATAAATAAATATGACATTTCACCAATCGGCATGCAAATATGCCATAATTTTTTTCATTCTTCAAATTTCATTTTTTAATAATTTTTAAAATTTCATGCCTCTTTCGTGTTGTCTGTCGGCATTTTAGCGACTAGAAAAATGTCTGCCAACAATTTTCCACATTTCTTAATAATAAATAAAATCTATTTTCGCAATTATAACTCATGTATCTCATAATAATTTTAGTGTCAAAATTTTACCCTTTCGATTGGCCGCCCCCGCTTTAAGCCCCGGGATCGCGCTGGCAGACATGACTATTTCATAATGACTACACAAAAGAATACTTCACACAAAAAATTAGCTATGTAACGATGATAAGGTTTTTTATGTAGCCAGCGCTTAGACTATTAAATGGCTGTGGTTTTGGTGGAATTTTTTTGTGAATCCTTGTTTTTTAGCTACTGTCGATGATAATTTAAACTTTAAACGTCTCTACATCCATTACTGTTGTCGTAAGTCTACAATGACCTATTTTTGATGATTAACTTTTTGATGGTTAAAACTTTAAACGTGTATAAGGAAAGCGTTCTTAGTTCAGTATGTATGACAAGCACATTTTTTTATAATGAATGCATTTTTTTTCAAGGTGTTAATAATAAGAAGTAATATATGACAGATTGATTGTTTGGTGAAAGTATTCTATATTTATTAATATTCATTTTTTTAGACAAATAATATTGGTTTTTGTCTTTAAGCAAGCTTTATATTGGTATTAGAAGGGTATTAGCTTTAAGCAGGTATATATAATTAACTACTACTTTTAGAAATGTTTAAGCCAAAAAAACAACATTTAATTTAATCATTATGTTTCGAAATAAAAAATAAAATGAAAATCGAAAAGCTCGTTCAAATAAAAATTGCGCTTTTATGTTTTTCTAGGCTTTCTTTTTTTTAATAAATATTGCTAATATCAGTGGGAATATGATCGTTGAATTTGGTATGCGACAATACGATTGAACAGATAATATTTTTGGAATATACGTAATTTGAAATTGCACAGGAGATAAAATGGATTATGGCTGCGTTTATTAGAGACACGGCAACCATTCAGAATTCATAAAATGACACAAAATGCCAATATTAAGAACGGAAATTAATTTTTGGTGTATGTGTTTTTTTGCCTTTTTTCAGCATATATAATATGAATGTATACCGGGTGCGTCTCAAAAGTGGATCATCCATATAACTTTTTTGTTTTTTCAGTTAAAAAGACGAGATTTGGTGTGTTAGTATATGACATAAATTAGGATTGACTGACGTATTCAATTGTTTTCGGTCACTTCCTGTTTGACAAATGACTACAACTTTTGATTTTTAAATGGTACCCTCAGTATTTCTTTTTACTGTATTTGATAGAAAATAACACTCTGAATCGGATGACATGTCATATGTCAACTTTTTACATTTTTGCATATGGTTTATTTGAAATTATAACTTGCGGTTTATGACGAAAATTTGACACGAAATACCAAGTGTGTGGTATCAAATTATTCGTAAAAAATGCCTTTCCCAAATATGCTAATGAGCCACCCTCGTTCCATTTGAAAAAAATGAGATATGATTAAAAATACGATTTGGGCATTTTTTAACCGGCCAGGACAAGACACTAAAACATTAGACGATCAAATCTATTTTTCCAAGGCTCCTTGAATAAGAATTAGTGTTTTTAACATAGCCATGGCACTCTAGATTAAAATTTAAAATACATTTTTTTTATTAAACGAGAATGTCAAAAGTTGATATATGATACGTCATCTTATTCAGAATATCATTTTCTATCGAATAAAGTGAAAATATACCCGGGGTGTCATTTAAAAATCAAAAGTTGTAGTCATTTCCGATGAAACACGAAGTGACCAAAAACAATTGAATGCGTCAATCAATCCCAATTTATGTCATATACTAACATACGAAATCTCGTTTTTTTATCTGAAAAAATAAAAAAGTTATAGGGGTGAGCCACATTTGGGACGCACCCGGTATAGCGTTTTTGATAATAAAAACTACAAATAATACTTAAACATGAAATTATTAATTACGGTTATACCATTCCAAGTTTGCATACCGTTTTAGAGAAAAATATGAATAAAATCTATGGCAAAATAATTTAGTTTTAATTCTTTTGTAGCTATTTGATAACCGTTATATTTTATGCTGTTGTTAACGGTGTTATCCTTTCCGATGTACTATTTTTTAAATATTTTTAAAGGTCTTACAAAATACAACCAAATTTTCAAAATTTCAGCGTTTATAGGAAATTTTATGTAGATTAAGAATATGTATACTTTTAAAAGCTTAAATTCTTCGGTTTTGTTGGAAAATTCATTTTTTAAATGTTTGTTTTTTAGCGTTTTTTGAAGATAGTTAAAATTTTTCCTATTTACTAATATACTCGTAAGGCCACAATCACCTATATTTTCCAAAAATCACCAATTTTCATGACTAGTTGGAAAAATGATCATTTTTGGCTATTTTTTACACATTTGAAAGGCCCTAGTAGAGTCAGAGTAATCGTAGTCATAAAATTGTTAAAATTTCAGCATTTGTAGGAAATTTGATGTAGATTCAGAATATGCACACATTTGAAAGCTTAGGTACATTGGATTTGTCAGAAAATTATTTTTTTGAACCGTTGTTTTTCAGCAATTTTTGATGAAGGGTAAAACGTCCCTTATTATAAGACGACAATACTCTATCTACATTTTCTTATTCTACATCTTTTAATTAGTAAGTACCAGCAGTACAATAGCAAATTTTTATGGCTATAGACATGGAAAAGGTTTTAGCATTTTACAGTATATCTTGATAAAGGCTCTTTGGTACAATTTTTTTTAAATCCTGTATAATACTCCGGTTGCTCATAAATGTTTATAAAATTCTGATTAAAATAATAATAACATTTAATTATTCAACCATTTCTGTAGGGAGTTTATCGAGTTAATAATGTGGCAACTACCTCCCTAAATGGAGAAAATAAAGTATTTGTTCATTCAGGATTATAATTTAGCAGGAAATAAATTATTCTATGACAAATAGTCTCCACACGGTGCCTGGCAGAGGGTATATAAAGAGTTTCAGGGTTCAGCCGTATATAGATAGCTTTATATCTGCTAGCAAGTGGATATTGCAATGTAAATTCCCTGAGCTCAATATTTATAGCTTCCGATAAAGGCGGTAAGCACTTGGCCTCTCTACCTTATAATGTCCGTCATTATTTATCAGCGCTAAAAGGAAATTTTTCATTAAACCTTCCTTTATTCTCTAGTTCCGAATTAACGAAATATCGCTTAATAGGAAGTTTATTAATTTATCAAGAATCGTATTAACTTTAAATGACGGGGCTCCGTATTTTCTCTTCCTTATTCTACCTTTTTGCAATTTAACGGAACATCAGATTTGTTCAGGTTTTGAGTATTTATATATAAATTTTGGATTTCGTTAGGTTTTGCCTATAAAATATTAATCCATCAAAAATATAGAATGTAAAAATTGAACAAAACAAAATAAAAACACTAAATCACCACAATACACCAAAACACTTTTA